CTCTTAAGATTTTTTTTTGTCACAAAGATTTTTATTTATTTAATGGTCAGATTATGTTAACTGCAAACCAAAATTTGTGTTTATTCAGCAAAAAAAATTATGTTGAATAAATCACGCGTTATCGAATAAAATAGCGATTTAGCGGATAAAATATCACTAATACATCAATAAAGTATATGAATTGTTATCTTTAAATTTTGTTACATAAGTTAACAGCTCATTAGGTAACCAGATAACGCTATTTAATTGAAACAACAAATCAAACGTTAAAAATCGTAACATTTCTAAAAATGTAAATCGCTGTTTTGTATGAAACAAGAACATGCATGTTAAGTTATAAAAAGAAAAGAACATGCATGTTATATCACATATTCACATGTGTGAATCGGTGATATATGCTAGCTTTTAACCCCAAAACATGTGTGAATCGGTGGTAAATTATTTGGTAATTTAGATTTGTATTCTCCGATTTGATATAGAAAAGTATATATCTTTACATAACATTCTTCTGGACTTCTTCATACATTGTCATTAGACCCAAATATATATAAAAATTACTATTTTTTCTAAAAACAGATTCTCCTTTTTTTTTTCTATAAATATTATTATTATTTTTTTTTTCTAAAAAAGGTTTTTCTTCTTGAGTCTAACATTTGGAAATTGGAATCCAGGAGTTCAAATTATGTTTCCTCCACTAATTTTTTCCCATCTGATCAATCCAATAACCAAAATTTATCAAAAATCAATAACCATTATTCTATGTTTTCAATCCACATTTGGAAAAAAAAAACAACAAAAAGTTTATAGATTACTTTGCAAGTGTCAACTTTTATGAAAGTTTAGTTTTCTTCTACTGTTCAATGCAACTATGCAACTGCGAGAGGTCTTTGTCAAAGTTAATTGTATACTTTTTTCAAACGGTAATTAAAAGTTACAACGGCTAATTTTTTTTTTTTTTTTGAAATTAGCAACGGCTAAATTTTTCTTCTAAATACATCGTTTGGGTTTCTCA